GTGTGTGTGTGTGTGTGTGTGTGTGTGTGTGTGTGTGCCTGTGTGTGCGCGTGCGTGCGCGTGCGTGCGTACGTGCGTGCGTGCGTATGCGTGTGCATATGCGTGTGCGCGTAACCACATATGCGGGCGTGTGCAGATTTGTGTACACGTGTACGTGAGTGCGTGTGTGTGATCACGCGTGTGTGTGTATGTGTATTTCGGTGTGAGAGCCGCTCCAGGCATCTGCCTCATAGCTCTAGAACTATAGCCCTTGGCTCTAGCAGGCCTGTGGTTTTGCCTGTGGTTTTGCCTGTGGCAGAGCGAATGACTATAGTTCTAGAGCTATCTGCCTAATATGATCTACTTTACGTCGCGCCCTGTCGTGCCCGCGTGAGTCCCCATGCAGCATCCCGAACGTACACGGACAGCGGTGGGAACCCGCGCGCGTCCCCGCGTCGGGTTATAGCACGAAAAAAACACGTCAGAAGACAAACACGGCGGTGTTTCAACACAGAGGCAAGCCGATCCCGAAAATATTGTGATAAAATACGCGCGCGCTAAGACGAAAAACCTGGAGCTGCGAGGAGACGGCGTAGGCTCGACGAGACGAACCCGGCCGAAACTTACACACATTCCGGGCGACTCACGTCACATCGGTCGTGCCTCACTGAATCCGATACGCGGAGCCGCTCGGCCGCGCTCCGCCAGCCGACAACAAAAAACACGGCGCTTCGATTCGCGAGCGCGCAGACGCGCTCAGGTGGTTCCAATTATGCGCGGTTTACGCTTCGGGCCTCCGCCGGAATCGGTTACGCGGCGGCGCGCGGGTGCTGGCGGGACACGGCAGCGGGGCCGCCGCGTGGCGCCGGGAGCTACTGCGCGGCTGGCAGTGTGCCCGCTTCTCCCCTCCTCTTATACTCCCCTCCTCTCGTCACCTCGCCGTCGAAGCTGCGTACTCGAGGGAAGGGGGAGGATGCTGCGACGATGTTCGCCGTCAGGGACGCTGCGCGCACAGCGGAGGCAGCGAGAGAGGAAGCCACGCGGGCGGGACCGCACGGAGAGCAGCGGAGGAAAAAAGTTGCCGACGCCTCCGAGCGAGCGGAATCAAATATCGGTGCTGGCGAGACGCGAGTGACAAGCCTGACATTTGCGGCCGCGAATTTATCTGATGAGGAAAAATTGAAACGACAAAAAACACCGCAGAGACATTGCGGTTGGCGAAGTTCAACGCTCACTAAATCAATGCGAGAGGCGGTCGGCAAACGAATAACGGATATATATATATTCAGATGAACGCAACTCTTTCTCTCTCTCTCTCTCGCTCTCTCTCTCTCTCTCTCTCTCTATATATATATACAATTATTTATATATTTATTTATTTATTATTTATTTATTTATTTATTTATATAAATATATATATAGATATATATATATATATATATATATATATATATATATATATATATATATAGAGAGAGAGAGAGAGAGAGAGAGAGAGTGAGTGAGAGAGAGATAAATAGAGATAGATAGAGAAAAATATTTAGATCGAGAGAGAGAGAGAGAATAGGATCGAGAAAACATGTGACGACGAAGTAACCGTTTGAGAAAAAGATGAAGAATTAAGAAAACAAACAACCGAACGTGTTATACGCGTAAATGCATTAAATTGTGATAACAAATCAGCTGCAATTATCGACGACCGTGAACCCGAGGAACCGAATGAATCGGGCGAAAAGTTATAGTGTTTACATTTAACGATCAACGACGTACAGTTTCACCTCTTCATGCTGGTTTCATTAGCAAAACATGGCGGAACAACCGCCACCAGCATGACGCTATCTGAAATTGCCGCCTTTCCAGCATCCGCTGTACGTCTGGCCGCTTTGTCTTTTCCTCGTTTGCAACTAGCAGACTCGCCTAACCAGAATTTTTCTATGTAGGGTTGAGTGAGGGAGAGACCGACCTCGATGGCAATCCCTACCCGCCGGGCACCGGACCTCGAACCAAGCGCATGCGCACCTCATTCAAGCACCACCAGCTAAGAACGATGAAGTCGTACTTCGCACTCAACCACAACCCCGATGCAAAGGATCTTAAGCAGTTGGCACAGAAGACGGGACTCACAAAACGCGTACTGCAGGTAATTGTTTTGCCGGCCAACGGGAGTAAATATCAAAGGGGATTTCCACCAATTATGTTACTCCCGCGACTATTGGATCTCGTTCGAACCAATGACAGCATAGCTACTGCAATACGGTACGATGAGCAACTATTAAGCTCCCTATTAATCCTTCTTCTAGGGCAGTACATAAATATAAGTTTTTGATGTTACAGCCGCCTTGAAAATTATACATTATCCTATAAGTAGAGTTGAAATAAGCACACTGTACAATTCTTTGTACCTGTAGGCCTACGTGCGCCTGACCTCGTATAATTCTTATTCAATCTCTCACCACGTCATCTCTCTCGCCCTCTTCCTCTCCCCCTATCTCTCTCTCTCTCTCTCTCTCTCTCTCTCTCTCTCTCTCTCTCTGTCTCTCTCTCTCTCTCGCTCGCTCTCGCTCGCGCGCTAGCTCGCGCTATCTTTCTCCCCTCTCTCTTTTTCGCTTAGCCTCGCTCGCTAGCGCGCTCTCTCCCGCTCTTATTTTTAACCTTGTTTAGCCTCGAGATAAATAGCCAGAACCGGCATAATACTTATCGCGTAATGGCCGATATATTCTGGTTAAGCGACGTAAAATGATACTAACGTAGACAGCGGAGTAGTGACAGGGCGACAGGTTGACAAGACCCGCAACGATCATTACTAGTCTAGCCGCATGGCAAGTTTATGTAGAGACCTATGCGCCTCACGTGTCCCAGAAAGGGGTCGTGGCTGTGATACATTGCTCACTAAATCGCTGCACCTGTGTGGTACACAATATATTTGTTGAGAGACGTAACCTCTTGGGAAACAATAACTTGTGCAAAAGTCATGAATTATAATAGATTATTATTTTGTTGGCGTGTGTGCGTGCGCGCGCGTACGTGTATGATTCTCTAAAAACGCGGCGTTTCACAAGTTCCTTGTATATTTGAGCTATTGTAATATCATTATTTAAAAAATAGGGGATTCTTAATTAAAAAACGCACAAATTTATATTAATCAATGTAAAATTCTATTTTTTATTATGATATTATAATAAACACGGGTCAAGATGTTAATTATAGGATGATAGTAATTCCTTGGACTGTACATATGAATATATTGCATTATTTCTAACAATTGTAACGCTAAATTACGTACTGTATTCTCGCATAGGTATGGTTTCAAAATGCAAGGGCGAAATATCGGAGAAACCTTCTCCGACAAGAGCAGAAGAATCACTCAGACAAATCGGGACAATTGACCCCTGGCGGCGAATCTATCAACACGTCCAACATCGGGGAAATTCGGACTTCTTCGCCTACGTCGTCGTTATCTGATATCAGCACGAGTCACACGCTGACGGAATTACACGACATAACCGGAAGTTCCGGCATGTCAACGGAGAGTCCTCGACCAAATCTCGAAGACCTCTTCTGACTGTAAAACAATTATATTAAACATTATTATGGTAATTATATTGTGAACGGTGGATCTGTCCTACTAACTCCGCGATTTTACATTATTCTCAATAAGGTTTTCATAATATTTGAGTAAATCCTAAATAAACCAAGTGAGCTATCGTACGTATCGTAAATCAATGTAAATTCCATCATCAAATATGAAATATAGTTGGTGGTGATATCTGGCATCGTGAACATATCTATACAATGTATGGATATGTCCACGTGTGTATATAGATGTGATAATAGTCTTTAAATGTAAAAGTGTGAAATCAATACTCGAACATACGTGAAAGAACACGAAATTGGGGGGCAAAAGAAAAGTATGGCTGAGTACAGAGAGAGAGAAAGAGAGAGAGAGAGAGAGAGAGAGAGAGAGAGAGAGAGAGAGAGGTGTGTGTGTGTGTGTGTGTGTGTGTGTGAGGAGCAGTACACTAGTGATTGTACGTAATTATGAATGAGAGAGGGAGTGATAGAGTGTGAGTGAGAGAGAGATAGAGACAATTAGAAAAATATTGTAAATTCCTGGTTCATCCTGGAGAATAATGTAAATAGGAAGAGGATACAAATGCAACCGACTCTAATTTATTAAATTATAATTGTGCAAGATTAGTCTATATATCAATCAATGTGTTGATATGACGCATAACCCAGCGTCCGGTATGTGTTTTGACATCATGTACACTTCGCGGGAATTGAACAACCAAACAAAACATATCATGTTGCAAGGCAAACCAATGTGACCTTGCAGTTAGAGCAAGATGGGGATAGTAAGTCCTATATGTAATAATATATCCACGATTTAGTGATGTAGGATGTCATTATTAATATAAACAATTTACTCCGTGGGAGAAAAACCCAAATGAAGTCGGAATGACCAATGTTATCACGTTCTCGTTAACATCTGTCAGAATTAATAACTTAATTAATATACTGCGTGTTATTGCCAGCAAATCTTAACTTGTCGGAGTCAAAACCGGTGTATTTCCTGGCTCACTTCAACAGTGGCTGTAGCGCCAAACGCTAAACGACTCTGGTTAACTTAGTGAATGGATCACGATGGGTTACCCGTTCTCAGCATGCGCCAACGCCATCTGCCGGCATGATGCAGCCTCTCGCGAGTTTCACTAAATCATGGCGCGCTTTTGCGATCGGCTTTGTGAAAGCAGTGAGTATAGCTCGTTGACCATCGTAGCCATGAATACTTAATCATAATTTCATCATTATTAAACCAATTTTTAATAAACCCACTGACTATTTAGTCTCATGTCACCTACATACGTTATACCCGCAACATGCACGTTGTACGCGCATTTAAACATTGGTTCTATGCTCAGGTGTGGGGGTGATACCGGCCGATATACCGTAGGAATTAGGGTTTGTTCTATTATTTGTACTGATATAGCTTTTAAAATAATCCTCGTCGTGTTTCAGTGTGTAAGTCCCTATATGAACTCTTAATCCAACTGATTATTGTAAACGAAAACAGCATGTTTGTGTTGTGACTCGCTTAACTGTATTGTGCCGTGCATGTTCTAAACAATACAAACTACATACTTGTAAATATATTCTCTGCCGATAAACCGTTATTTGCATGTCTTCTTCATCATTAGGTGACATCTGTAACTATACAGATCGCGTGTATGTAAAGTTGTGAATAATGGTAGTTCAACAGTGTCCAGTTGTTCATAATAATTATTCAGGTGTAAGAATACATCGATTTTAGGTTGTTAATTGTTGTGTTAAGGAAAAGCGTTCATGTTACGGTAGGATTGACCACAAACTAAGGAAATTATCAAGAGCATATAAAGAAGTGAGCTTTATACGCTCTTGAAAGTATTGAGCACTTACAAACTCATTTGTGTATCAAACTCAACTGAGTATTTACTGTACATATAGTTCGGTCAGGTTTGCTGCATATCATTGGGCTAAACGAATTAGGCCTCTTGCAAAAAGACGTACATACTACGTTGACGGACATACTGCGCAAGACACCTCTATCCACGTGTCAAACTAACACACAATAATTGGGTAAAATAGAATGTAAAAACTACGAACTATTACATATCAGCACACGCTAGCGATGATATTGTATCCGCGCATGAATTGATGTACCGACTATGATATAACGATTGACGTTACCTGTCTACGAAATAACGAGCGCTTTTGTAAAAAAAACCTTGATTATTCTGCGTTTTTATACATGCGTGCGCCTCGCTCGTTTGGGGGAATGTGAAACGAGCTTGAAAAAATACTCTTGATAACATGCTTTGCTTACACGCTGCAACTCCAAAGCGTTGCATCGATCTAAATAACGTCGATGGGAAAGAAAGAAAGGAGAAGAAATTTTTAACACAATCATCAGTATTGAAGCATCACTTCTAACTATACTACTATTCTACTAGTACGATTTTAATGTGAGTAGGGAGAGCCTACGCGTATAGGTGTCATCTTAAAAATTGACTGCTATAAGTGCTATTAGGTAGGCTTAACCAATAGATCATAGATTGATAATTGCCTTCAAAGCTGGTTGAATCGACTAGCACAGTGTTTCTCAGACTGGAGATCGTCTGGTAGATCGCAAGACGCGTTTAAAGAGGTGCCCGAGATGTTTGTGAGAGTCCACAGTGTCCCCGGCTGACGTATCATTAATTACATTTATATCAGCCAATAGGTGGCGACATGTGTCATACGAGACAGATAAACCCGTGTGTTCAACCTTCATCAAATTAATGAAATGGTATTTTATTGAAGTTATATCTTGAAGTTAGGCAGCGCATTCCCACCAGTAGTTTTATATATGATAAAGATCCCCAAACGAATCTTCACTAGTCATGTCAACTTCCCCTGTAGCATAGGAGACGACTCGCCTTCGCGCATACCAATAATCTTCTAAATAAATTAATATGTTGTTGAAATAACACATTTAAAGAGATAAGCATCACAGTAGCTTTGCACGTTAAATAAATCGCGATGACTCAATCATACCTTCTTCATGTGACCCGGCTGACGTAACACGAATTAAAATTCTAAATCAGCCAACAGGTGGCGCTACAAGCCAGAGCCGTAGTCTCTTGGAGGGTGAACGAGTAGTAGGTCTCAGGGGAGAGATAGTAAATCTAGTAATAAGTTGTGGATATAGAAATCAGCTAACCCTAACCCTAACCCTAACCCTAACCCTAATCCTAACCCTAACCCTAACCCTAACTCTATCCCTAATTCTAAGATAAAACAAAATTAGCCAAAAATAATAAATAATAAAATAAATAAGAGACAAAATTAGCCAATCAGAGCCGTCTCCTAGCGGATCACTATCTCGCCCTTGTGCAAAATGGTAAGCACTTATTTCCATCCCTCAAACCGCTCTTCCGGTCTGCAGGTTCCACCGCCGCGGCGCGAATTTTTTTCCACAACAGTTTTTTTCCTAACCCTAACCCTAACCCTAATCCCAACCCTAACCCTAACCCTAATCCTAACCTAACCTAACCCTTACCCTAAGCACCTAACGCCTAATGCGCCGCGGCGGTGGGACATGCACACCGGAACTAGGGCGGTTTGAGAAATGGAAATAAGTGCTTACCGTGCAAAATTCGAACGGAAGCAGCTGCCTCTTTGATTTTCAAGAAAAATTAACTAAATGTTTACTAAATGGAAATGACCCTAAAATAAGGTTGACTCATCATGCAGGCAGTCATCGGCTAAAGTTTTGTTTCATAACCACCCCCGCCGCCCTCGCCACGCTACGCAGGTTAACTAGTGATGCGCCGCTCGATCCGTTGTCAACACACAGCTATGTTACGAAAATTCCCCCTCCCCAGGAATTAGCTCAGGCTATAACCAATGCTACTTGAAGCGTTTTAAGCACAATTTAAATTTGAAGCGCATGTATGAACTCAGAATCTGGTAGAGTGCCAGGGCACGTTATAATTATTTATTCAAGCTTTGCTGTTTGAATATGTCTTACATAAAGTAGTTTAGATACGTGTAGTCATCGGGTTGAGTATAAAAGCATAATCGATATATTAAAATTAGATTTTTGGATGATGAATTTGAGATCATAGAAACTAGCTCACCATGACGCCTCCTCTACGTGGGTGTGATATCCGCACCGCTGTAATCTGTCCATCCCAGGTGTCTTAACTGCAAGGAAAAATAATGAGAAATGCGAGAACGTACAATTATTCCGTTATTTAGACACTGCCGAATCTCGTTGTTTCTTTGCCTTTCGTGTTTATTTATACACTGATCGGGCACACGTGCGCACACGAAATTTTAACTGGCTTGCGATAAGTTTTTATTACTTTGTTTGTAGACTGATTGGTATCAAATAAGACGTGTGTTTTTTGCCCAAAATAATGTAGAAAATTGCGTATTTTCATCACCCTTTTTTCTCAAAGATCAACTGGGAGAGCTTGCCCACGCATCATGCAAAGGGTCACATACTAATGTATGGAGACAGTAACTGAACTAATATAACAGCTTTTTATTGTTTCATGCAGTTGTACAAGAACCCGTATAACATAAATCGTGCTATAGCAGTTTGTTGGTGCCTAAAATGAAAGTAATTTCATTCATTTTTGTAAGTAGGCTATCCTACGAACAAACGCACCAATACTAAAATTGTTGCCAAGTCACAGCGGGAGTCGCAATAACCATGGTAAGGGGGTCGCTTACTAACGTATTGTTAGGAAACTCCGGACCAGTAATGTCATCTGTGACGACAGGAGCTCATTACGAGCCGACAGATGGCGCCACTCTCCTCTCATTCGCATATGTATTTAGCTAAAATGCCGGAGAAATTTGTGATATTCGGGTAGCTCTGACAGAACATCAGACGGAGCCGTAGAGCGTTTTGCATCTGATTTCATTCGGTCACATACGAAAATAAAGGGAATCAGTGGATATTCTGTAGACGAGCCCACATCCGCGGAACACGGAATTGCGAGCGCGCGTATGTATAGGCGAGCGTGCGCGCCCGAGGGTGACGGAGACGGATATATAGACGAGCAATCAGATGGCCTCGTCGACGGGCTGACGGGGAAACGCTGCTGCAGATGCAAGTAACTTCACTACTATTAATAAACATTTGAACGCGTAAAAACGTCGCGCGATGCCCGTCGATATATAGGCTTGTTTGTTTCTCTAGTGTCAGCTCGTACATTCGCCTGCCGTCGTGCGTCCGCGGCTGCACCTCGCCCCCGCAGTCTAACGCTAACGCGTCGCCGCTAAAGCACGCGATACACGCGACAGCCGCCGACGTTCGAATTCACCAGAACGCAAGTAATTTCGGCGGATGCGAGCTATTTTGCCGTATCTGCGGGAGCGGCGTAAGATGAAGACGAGGACGCGGTCTGTGGAGGCAGTCTCCGCGAGAGACTTGCTCCCTCTGGTTTCTCATCTCCGGCGCAGCTGGTAATCGGCGGGCTAGAGAACAAGTGCAGTGGAGGAGAGGTGGGGTGGGGTGGGGGGGGGGGTGAACGATAGAAAGGGGGCAGGAGGAGAAGGCGAGTATACTTGCGTAACCCAAACTTGCGAGCACGCGAAGGGGTGTCTGGACCCCCTCAGATGCGTTTTCTGCGTGAGCAGGGGGGGGGGTCCGGACCCCCTGGACCCCCCACCCTGTACACGCCCCTGGTTCACATTGTAGACTCTGATACCGTGTGCGCTTGCACTGACTGGTGGGGTCCAGAGGGTAGATTCAAGATTCATCAAGCTGCGTACGCAAAATATTTTGCGTAAATCTTGTGTAGCCTACGCAATCGACGTTGCTTAGTTGCGATTCATCAATGCAGTTATTTAGTAAATTTGCGTACGATTTCGCGTAGGCCCCTACGCAAGCGAGGTCGTTTTAGGTGCGATTCATTAAGCTAAAATTTTATTAAACCTTTGCTTAACTTTACACGAGCTGACGAGGTGCCGTAAACCACTCGATATTTCCGCAAGTGTTTCCAGCATACCGCAGCATCCATTATTTTATTGAGAAAACATTATAAAATTACTACTCAACTAAAAATAAATAAATAATTACCATACTACACAGACAGGCAGCGCCTTTGACACTTCTTTTGTCATAGCTTGGCATTGTTTTCGTTATAAGTGAGTTATATATATATAGAAAGAGAGAGAGAGAGAGAGAGAGAGAGAGAGAGAGAGACCCTGCGAGAGAAAGGCTAGGCGAAATGAAGGAGGAGAGCTATACAGACGAGCGGATAAGAACTTAAACGAATAATCCATCCATTGATTGACAACAGTCATAGCCGCGCTGCCACCAACTCGCGCACAGTCTCATCGAAGTTCCGTCTGCAGCCGGAGCTTGCGGTGCTTAGAACATCCTGTTTCAGGAAGAACGACGGAACAACCGTAAATAGGCGCAATTACAACCGCCTCGAGTCGCTGCTGCTGCCATGTTGCCATGTTGCCATGTACATGTTAAAGACCAACGACCTAGCGTGACAGAAGCAGCAGCGGTGGCGGTGACGGCGGCAGTGGAAGCAGGAGTAGCAGCAACAGCAGCAGCCGCGGCAGCGAGAACAACAGCAGCAGCAGCTGAAGCAGTAGCATCAGCATAATAGTAGCAACAGCGGCGGCAGCAGCAGCAGCAGCAGCAACAACAAAGGCAGTAGTAGTGGTAGCAACATCAGCAGCAAAAACAACAACATAAGCAGCAGCAGCAACAACAACACCAATAGTAGCAGCAGCAACAGCAGCAGCAACAACAACAACAACACAACAAGAATAAAAGCAAGAACAGTAACAACAACAGTAGCAACATCAGTAAAAACAGCAACAGCAGCAGCAACAGCAGCAGTTGCAGCAGCAGGGGCGGCGGCAGCAGCAGGAGCAGCGACGAAAGCAGCAGCGGTGGCGGTAGCGCGCAGCAGTATCGCTGCCAGCTGCTCGCGAACAAGCGACCGGTCGGAGAGTGAGAAGAAAGTAGGAGAAGACGGATGCAATTTAGATCGCTGGCGCCAGCCGACGCAGTCGAGTCGCAGCCGACGTATTAATCTCGCGCTGGTCGTCGGCCAAAAGAAGCCATCGAGCCTAAGCATAATATGATAAATCTCGTGACGTCATCGCACGTGTTGCGAATGTGAATGCTGCCGCCGCTGCTGCCAACGACCGACAACCGCGCTCCGGCGTGCTGTCATCGTCTCTGATGAAGCCTGCGACATCTGCCCACGCACACGTACCGGAACTAGCGCGCCGTGGACTCATCGCTCCAGGAAGCGAAATCTAACAGCGATTAGAACCGACCGCTAGTAATGTAGCCCGCGTGCCGTTAGATTCGCCGTATAAGAGTGAACGAAGGCAGAATCGACGGCAACTGCAGTGGATAAAGAAGATGCTGCGGATGATGATGATGACGATAATGATGATCACGCGGGGAAATCGGACAGGAGAGAGAAACTCGACTTGGATGGAAAAGTTCAGGTATGCGATATAAATTAATTCACCAGCCGTGTCCGACCGCATGCGTCACAGCCGCTGAGAGAGACTGATGAGGACGAGAGCATCTAGAGTCATTATACATTCATGCATAGCAGCTCGATCGAGAAGCGATATGTTAACCGGCTTTTAAAAATCGTTGTCATCGAGTACATTTCTCGATTGAAATGTTACTCGCGCTGGCGTCGGGTGCACACCGGCGGTTTTGACATGTCTAGCAATGGCATCGATGCTGCACGTATCCAACATAGTCACGCCCTTAATTGTGTCCTTTTGTCTTTGTGTCCTCGTGTCTTTGACAAGTGAAATGACAATAGCTATAACCTCTCCTGAGCGCGAGGGTGTGGGAGGCGCGCATGCCCGATGGGACGCGCTCCCTATTAGTAGACCTTAGCAATGCTGGTATTTCATTCCTGCCCTATTCGGTCAGCAGTTATGCGTGTTGACGAATTTCCCGAGGGAAAATCGAATAATCATCATCTCAGAAGATGCAGCGTGCGTGTAACGGGCGCTCGGTTCGGCTCGATGGCGGAGAGGTTAGGGAACAGCCACGCGCTGTATGTTATAGGCACATGTTTCGGATATAAATTCGGGATCTTTAACATGCATCGACGATCACGAGAAATCGTCGACGGTATTGCACGGATATAGCTTTGCGCTACTCAGAAAGGTGCAGCGCGAGTATGTGTCGTGCCATTTTTTGTCCATCCGTCCAACGGTCACGCTGTATGTTACGCACAAGTTTTGATAGAAACTCGCATCCTAAAGTGAGCTTTGATAATAATAAACGAAAAGACTGCAGGAATGCTGCGCGGGCGGCAAACATATAGCTTCGCTAGTTCTTTTCTTACGCAGTGTCGCAGCTGCGTGTTTCACGAATGATCTTCTCGATATTATTAATTATATGGAATTAACCCGTCTTTCCTAATTAGGTTAATGGCCGATTCGATTAAAAACGTCACTCGAGATGCGGAACAAGCTAATTAATGTGCTAAACTAATAAAACTGACACCTAACAACGTGTACGTATATATGTGTGTGCATGCGTATGTGTGTGTGTGTGTGTGTGTGTGTGTGTGTGTGTGTGTGTGTGTGTGTGTGTGTGTGTGTGTGTGTGTGTGTGTGTGTGTGTGTGTACATTCCCCGCTGTTGCTCTGCGGGTGGGATGGCTGATGTAAACGCCCGCGACGCATCTCTCGTCTGTTCGTACGCCGTCACAAATTGGATTAGGTATCAATTACCGTAGAGACGTGTATAGCCGAGAAACCCACTGATATAACGTTATAATTACCTGTAAGAGTATATGGCGATTCGGACGATCAAAGCGAGCCTGAGTCATTCACCGTCTCTATGATAAATGTATGATGACTGAGTTTATACCTGTAATGTGCGCGTGCGTTCTAAGTTTGTGAATACTCCTTCTCGTCTGCCTGGTGAATACCGTATGCAGCTGCATGTGATAGCTCAACGTATATCTACTTCTGGGAGAGCGATTCAGTCACAGATCATAGAGTCATGGTCAGAGAATTAACACGAGGGTTACGGTTTGGATTAGAGTTAGGGTTAGGGTTATAGTTAGGGTTAGAGGTAAAGATAGGGTTGGGTTTAGTGTGGGTGTTAGGATAAGGCTTATGGTTGCGGTTGTGACTTGTGATTACGGTTATAGTTAGGGGTAAGGCTTAAAATTATAGTCAAAGTTAGAGGTTAAGCTTAGGTTTAAGGATAGAATTTGGTTTAGGGCTAGGGGTATGAATAGGGTTATGGTTAGGGTCAGAGCTAGGGGTAAGAATATGTTCTGGGCCAGGCGTAGGATTAAGGCTGGGGCTAGAGCTAGTGATAGGGTACGGTGTATCGGCAGGAGCACTGGTAGGATTATATTAAAGTGTGATGTTATGGTTAGGCTTAGCGGTAGGGGTAAGGTTAGGGGTAGAATCAGACTGAAGGTTAGTGCCAGGGCTATTGGTAGGGGAGATTTATGGCGCATACTATCCGGCCGAATCAGCCAGCCATTTTGCGACGAGGCCGGCGAGTGGACGACGATGATATTGACGATATTCTCGCCGCTGGCTACAGATGTTCATACGGACAGCGTCCACAGACGATCATAATAGAAATACATACGCTATGATCAACTGCTATGTTAATGCTATAGCTCTCCACACACGCAGCTCTACTCCCGCGCCTCTATTCTCTCGCTAGGAAAGGGCGAGGCGGGTAAGAACCCCAGGGAATATATGCGTTCCGCGAGGAAACCAAGAAACAGAAAGTTTAAATATGAATCGAGTGGAACGATACCCCACAATGAAATTTCTCGCATATATATATATATATATATATATATATATATATATATATATATAGGAGGACGCAATGGACTGACAATAAGCGAGGTGGAGAATATCGATGGTGAGCGTGTGTGTGCCGGCTTTGTCGGTGGCGACGCTCCCGCGGGCGTCCTGTTAGTCCGGTGACAGCGACAGCATACATGTCCGTCCGTCATGCGACATGATGACAGAATGACAGCTGTCACTCGATCAGCGACAACTGACAGTTAGCTCTGCTATGCGTTAGCTATCTCTGCTATGTGTTAATTATCATTGCTATACGTTAGCTATCCCTGCTATGTGTTAATTATCATTGCTATACGTTAGCTATCCCT